AAAAATTATTTTACTTTGTGGTATGCGTTGAATCAACCCCTCGAAGTCCTGCCCGAAAACAATCCTTAAGATCGGCCTTTACCCCGACTTGAGGTACATAAGCGCTAATAATATTGACAGTCTTACATCTAACGACGATCTGTTTTTTAAAGAGTAAATAATTTTGTCCCCAATTCTATTAACTTCTACCAATTTCTTCTTCCACTTCTCATAAATAATGATACTCACTCTATTTCGTATGCTTACTTTCCTTGTATAGTAAAGTTTGAACTTTGAATATCCTTAGTTTATCACTAGGCCATTTGTCTCTTGTAAGCAAAAGATATTAATTTTTCTATTAATCATAACTTCTATCACACTCCATAGATTTACAATTCAAGGTCCCAACTTCTAAGTACCAAATCTGCTCTTGTTCACATGAACTAACTTCTATAGCTGCACTTGTCTAGAATAATGTATAGCCTTTGCTCATTTAATACTACATTCGGGTACTGATGCAATGTCTTTAACTTATTTGTCACTGCACTCGAGCTATACAGCGCGGTTACTTACGGGCAACGACCTAGCATTAGCACAAAAATGTCTATTGTTCATATCTATGTGAGATTCAATAGAGTTTTTATATTGATTGTTGAGGGCCTAACACAACCTCTTCCTTTACCTAAGCTAGGAACTGGCTATAAACATAGGTAGAGTTTAAAAGAATCATGCAGTAAGTTTAATTTTCTTTTGCAGGAACAATTATATTTTAGGGTTATGGTTTCCATACTCAACTGTAGCTTACAAAACAATTTTTTTCTTGCAATTGCTTTCTTTTTATATGGTTATTTCTTCCCCTCGATTGGTTTCTTGTGAAACTCCGCCTATGTTTTATAGCCGGTCCCAAGCCCGGGTAAAGGAGGGGGTTGTGTTAGGCCATCAACAGCCAATGTAAAATTTGTTGAATCTATCATGAACATGGACAATAGACGTTATAATGTTAATGCTAGGTCGTTGCCCGTAAGTAACGCGCTGCATGGCTCGAGTACAGTGATAAGTGAGTTAGAGCCGCTGCATCGGCGCCCGGATGTAGTGTTAAATGAGCAAGGGCTACCGCGTCATTCTGGACGCACGCGGCTAAAAAGTTAGTCCATAAGAGCAAAATTAGATTTGGTACTTGGAATGTTGGGACATTAAATTGTAAATCTGTAGAGGTTGTAGGGGTTATGATTCAAAGGAAAATCAATATCCTTTGCTTGCAAGAAACAAATGGCGTGGAGAAGGAGCTAAGGATATTCAAGGTTTCAAACTTTGGTATACAGGAAAAGTAAGTGCACGCAATGGAGTAGGCATCATTATAGATAAGGAGTGGAAGAAGAACGTTGTAGAAGTTAGCAGAATTGGAGACAGAATTATTTCTTTAAAATGATAATTGGACGTGAGACTGTTAATATTGTTAGCGCTTATGCGCCGCAAGTCGGGACAGAAGCCAGTCTTAAGGAATTATTTTGGGAGGATCTGGAGGGGTTGATTCGACACATACCACAGAGTGAAAAGATTTTTATTGGAGGAGACTTTAATGGGCATGTCGGGAGGGAAGCTGGTCAGTATGCGAGGGTGCATGGTGGTTTTGGTTTTGGAGAGCTAAACAATGAAGGGCAAACTCTTCTTGATTTCTCATTGGCGTATGATTTTAAGATTGCCAACACTTGTTTCAAGAAGAGAGATGAGCATCTCATCACTTACAAAAGTGGAGCCTCAAGGTCGCAGATTGATTTTCTTTTGGTTAGGAACACAGATAGAAAACTTTGTAAAAATTGTAAGGTGATCCCTGGAGATGCTGTAACGACACAACATAGGGTCCTAGTCCTTGATGTGTGTATTATGAGTAAAATCCAAAAACGTCGACAAGTAGTAACACCAAAGATTAGGTGGTGGCAATTAAAAGGTGAGAAGCAAGATATTTTCAAGCGAAATCTTTTGGATAAAGGAATTTGGGATTCTCAGGGAAGTGCTAACATCATATGGGAGGATATGGCTAAAAAGATACGGGAGGTTGCAAAAGTAGTTTTGGGAGAATCGAAAGGTTCTGGTCCGAGAGATAAGGAGTCTTGGTGGTGGAATAATAGTGTACAGGACAAAATCAAGTATAAGAAGAACTGTTTTAAAGCCATACATTTGTGTAACAATGAGGAAAATTGGGAGAGGTACCGTATGGCTAAGAAGGAAACTAAGAGAGCTGTGGGTGAAGCTCGTTCCAAAGCTTTTGAAGAATTTTATAAGAACCTTGAGACGAAGGAAGGAGAGCAAAATATTTATAAGATTGCCAAGAGTAGGGAAAGAAAATCAAGAGATCTAGAACAGGTAAGGTGTATTAAGGATGAAGAGGGAAGAATTTTAGTTACAGATGATGAAATTAAAAATAGATGGGAGACTTATTTTTCTAAACTTTTCAATGATGGAGAGGATTCATCTAGTAACTTGGAGGATTTAGTAACTGGTGAAGGAGAACAAAATTTGTCATTCTATCGAAAAATACGTGATAAGGAGGTAAAGGAAGCTCTTAAGAAAATGGCAAATGGTAGAGCTAACGGACCTGATTGTATATCTATCGAAGCGTGGAAATGTTTAGGTGAAGAAGGGGTGAGATGGTTAACTAAGTTATTTAATGTGATTTTACGGTCCAAGAAAATGCCTGATGAGTGGAGGAGAAGTACATTAATTCCTATTTATAAAAATAAAGGAGATATTCAGAATTGTACTAACTATAGAGGGATTAAACTCATGAGCCACACAATGAAATTGTGGGAGAAAGTAATTGAGCACAGGTTAAGATTGGAGACAAGTATTTCTGAGAATCAATTTGGTTTTATGCCAGGTAGATCAACTACAGAGGCAATTTATCTACTAAGGGGATTAATGGAAAAGTATCGTTGTAAAGATAAAGATCTACACATGGTTTTTATTGATTTGGAAAAAGCTTATGACCGTATACCAAGAGAAGTGCTTTGGAAAGCGTTGGAAAAAAAGGGAGTACGGATTGCTTATATTAAAGCCATACAAGATATGTATGAGGGGGTAAAAACTAGTATAAGAACGCCTTGTGGTCAAACAAAGGATTTTCCTATCAAGATTGGACTACATCAGGGATCATCTCTGAGTCCTTATTTGTTCAACTTGATTTTAAATGTTTTGACGGAACATATTCAAGAGGAAATCCCGAAATGTATGCTCTTCGCGGATGATATAGTTCTTATAGCAGAGACAAGAGAAGAGGTTAATTGCAAACTTGAGTTATGGAGGAGGACATTGGAGTCGAAAGGTTTTCGTCTGAGTAGAAGTAAGACGGAATATTTATATTGTAAATTTGGTAAAGGACTATTCGAAAATAATTTGGAAGTGAAATTGGGAGATCAAATCATACCTCAAGTGGAAAAGTTTAGATATTTGGGAGCCATTATTCAAAATGATGGCGAAATCAGTGGAGATATTTCACATAGAATTCAAGCTGGGTGGTTTAATTGGAGAAAAGCTAAAGGAGTTATTTGTGACCGTAAGGTGCCTAATAAACTTAAAGGAAAGTTTTATCGTACTGCTATCAGACCGGCAATGTTATATAGTAGTGAATGCTGGGCTCTAACGGGACAGCAAGAGCATAAAGTTGGAGTAGCAGAGATGAGAATGTTACGATGGATGTGCGGACATACACGTAAAGATAAAATTCGAAATGAGCACATACGTGAAAAAGTGAGGGTGGCACCTATTGAGGAAAAAATGGTAGAAAATCGGTTGAGATGGTTTGGGCATGTACAAAGAAGACCAAGGGAGGCACCAGTGAGAAGAGTGGAACATATAACTTTGAGTCCGATTAAGAGAGGTAGAGGAAGGCCTAAGAGAACACTCTTGGAAGTTGTTGAACGTGATCTCTTAATTAATAATATTTCTAAAAGCTTAATAAATGATAGAGCACAATGGCGTCTTGCAATCCATGTAGCCGACCCCACCTAGTGGGATAAAGGCTTGTTGTTGTTGTTGTTGTTGTTGATTGGTTTCGTGTGAACTTTACACTTCTAGGACATTGCTTGATCAGGCAAGTGACTAGTTTTGGATGTCTTCATCCTTATTGATACTGGCTTTCTTTCATTCATCATGTTCTATCCTTAATTTTTTTTTCAGCCAGGTTCCTGGCCCTCTTGGAATAACCTAATGATAGTGGCATTTCTGATGTTTTTTCGGTTGGAACTATTGAATTTTTTTTTTTTCACATTCTAACAGCTCCAACAAGATAGTTTTGGATTTTTTTTGGGACATTTCACTTGTTCATTTCAGTCCTTGGATTTTTTGGATATGTCACTTTCTATATGTAATAATAATAATATTTAACACCACCCATAGAAATAAAAGCCCCCTTCCATATAACCACTTCCAAGTGTTTTGAAACTTTTTTCCTCTTATTTTAATCAGTATGCGAAGTAGTTTTCTTATTGACTGTCCCAACATTTTGATTGATTTATTAGGTCTTCACTGCTAACAAGGCTCATTATCTTATCTTGTTGACTACAGTTGAGTAACTTGAGTTAATTATGTATGTTAATAGTATTTGTGGTTGAGTATGGAACATTTGTGGAGTTGAGACAAACTTCTTTTGGCATTTCCATTTTTATGTCTAGGAGCGCTGAATTGAAGCATGTCTCATTTCATTTCTCTTTGTTGTAATCATTTGGCATCCTAAGATGCTCTGCTATCAAGGTTTTCAAGGGAATCACTTTACAGAGATGGCGGGGCTTTACTATTATTGTGTGCTTTGTGAAGATACCTGTGGTTTTGCTCTTTTCTCTATGTTGTTTATAATCGGATCCCCCCCCCCCCGGGGGGTCAATCGGTACCCCTTCCTGTTTGTTTTTATAATTTCTTCATACACAAAATAAGAGTGGAGGGAAGTAGGTAACTATGTAAGCTGTAGCATGAGCAATGGAATGCTGCTTATAGGGTCTTCAAGAGGCATTTTGTTGTCAGTGACTATTTCTTTTTTTTCTCATCAGGTGTAAGGAAGGAACGGGCAGCACTTGGAGCTATATTATTCTTGCTGGCATTTCTGTATGCCTTTTGGCGTATGGGAATTCACTTTCCAATGCCATCACCTGATAAGGGTACTGACTTATTCTTTCAGGACTATGTTTCTGCATCATCTCTCTCTTTCTTATTCCTTGTTGCAGCATCGTAAAAAGTTTGAAATATTGCTAGTAGATTTACATACTCTCATGCTCTGGGAGAATATTAATTATACTACCTGAATTAACTTATGTTGTGACTAATTTGGCTTTTAATATTTATTATGTATATCCTGGGAATTTTGGGTTTTTTTATTGGAGTTTTTGGATATTTCCTATTTTGGATTAATATTTTTTGAATCTATGCTGGTTGCTGATAGTTTTTAGTTGTTAGGTTTCTTCACTATGCCTCAACTGGTCAGTAGAATTGGGGTGATTGGTGTTACAGTTATGGCTGTTCTATCTGGTTTTGGTGCTGTGAACTTACCCTACAGTTATTTATCTCTTTTCATCAGGTAATTACTTAAATTTCTCATTTGGTCTTATAATTTATTCAGTAGTATCTCTTCTGTGAATATCCGGAGAAATATCTTTCTGATTTTTCTGTGTTTTGGAGGGCTTCTAGACCCAATCACATCTCATCATCATGATACATTTTAGATTTTAGAGGATATTTTGTGCTCTCTGTAATTATTACAAGTTCTCTCCATAAAAAAAAGAAATAGATTCACAGATTTGTGATGGTATTATGGTATTCTTAATTATTATACGTTCATTTGCTTATTGATATTTCACATTTCTATTAATTAGAGAGATTGAGGAAGCAGAGATTAAAGGCTTGGAGAGACAACTGATGCAGTCAATTGAGACTTGTATTTCAAAGAAGAAAAAAATTATACTTTGTCAAATGGAGATGGAGAACAGCCAGGGACCTGAGGAGGTTTATATTTTCGGCTAGCACCATATTTCTATTGAGTCTTTTTTTGGTCAACTATTGAAGTTTTAGATGTTGCCTTTTCTCCTGCATTTTACTATTAATGTCTGTTTGAAAACCTTCGATAATTCCTTTTCTTTTAATGCTGTTTTTTGTCACTGATCTAGACTTATTTGTTGCAGAAGTTAAATGCCAGATCTTTTGTTAAACGTATAGTTGGCACCGTCATTCGATCTGTGCAGGAGGACCAAAAGGAGCAAGGTCAGTGTTTTTTACCCTCAGAATGGCCTTTTGAAGCTTTCCTCTTTTAAATCTATGTTATGGGAAACACAATATTTCATAGAATTACTAATGTTGACAGCTTGCGATTATGACCAAGTCATGATTTTCTTGGGGGAGGCAGGATTTAATAATGAGGAGGACCGAAATCAAAATTCAGAGTATAAAATTCATATAAATCCATGTGGGGCGGGGGCTAGAAGTACATAATACCTATCAATAATGAGGAAAAAAAAAAAAATCAAAAACTTGGGGGTCTGTTGCCCCACCAATCTCCCGCTCTCTCTACCCTTGGTTTTCATAACTTTAGTGCATGAGGTTTTTTTTTTTTTTTTTTGAAAGTCATATAATTGCCTTTCTTTTTAAATCTTATAATTACCTTTTTGCTGCCATGTACGGCTTAGAGGCCTACAATCATTTATAATACCCTATTCATTATTACATGATGATGCATCTCATGTTTAATTACCTGGCCCAATAAGGGTTAATTTTTTTTATATTCCTTTTTCTAGTGAGAATGGAAAAGGATCACCAAAAGCAAAATCCAACTCAAGACTGTCACAGGGAAAATTTCCCCCTTTTATAGTCCCTGTATTATGTGCTCCAAATAAATTGACTTTGGTGACAAAATCTTTTTTTTTTTTGGGGCTCTGTATTTAATAGGTTTGACATGAACATTATGTTGCCAGTTTGCAAGCTGCATAAGGTTTTGTCTCCTGACGTATGCTAGTGTGATATGTCTTTTTGTTGCAAAGACTGGCCCCATATGTTGTGGTATGACATGGCTGTGGTAGTTTTTTTTTTTTTTTTTGGGGACAGTACTAGTGTTAAGATATGTTAGAATATATTGTATTTATTGTAGTTAGTTGGTGGTTGGAGGTTGAGCTAGGTGGGGGTTATTATTTGTGTAGATTTCTCTTGTATATATAGCCCTCTGTATCTATCCTTTTAACTTGAGAATGACGGCTCGTTTGGTTCACTGGAAATAAGCTTTAGGAAAAGGAAATGGAAAAGGAATCAATAAATTTCTTTGATTGGTGGTATGAAATTTAATGCTTAGGAATTGAAATTCAAGGAAGAGAGTAGAAATTTGGCTCCCACCTCAGACCAAAGGAAAATTATATTTTCCTAGGAAATTAATCTTTCTGACCAAAATTCCCTCTATGATTTTTCAAAATTCCAGGCTCTTCTCCATCATATCACAATCGCCTTTCAAGTCTCAAAATACCTTCAAGCTTCTTCTTCATCAGTAGCCATCTCTGATCAGTGTCGCACCTTCACTTGCTTCTAAGACATTTTGGGTTGATTTTAGCTTGTTTATTGACTAATCGCGGGCAATCCCTTGTATTTGTTGGTGACATTCATTTTGCTATTCTCTTTCCTCTCAACCCTTTGTTTCCTTTAGTACCTGAAGTTTTTGGTTAGTATTTGCTTCTTTCAGGATTGTCACCCTCAAGTCACTGAATTGGATCCCAGGTCTCTCATATGTGTCTTTTTTTGTATTCTCTCCTTCAAAAGGGATCCTAGTGTTTTTCTCCCTACTATTGACCACTACCCTGTCTCGGAAGATGCATGTTCTGTGAAAGTACCTTTTTCTTTATCTCACCTTTTTTGTGTAAATATTAAGGGGAGGAAGATGATTTACTTGTATACACTATCACTCATGTTACTTATAGTAATCCTACGCCTGTTGCGGGCCCTACTCGGCCTCCAATAGTTCTTGTCTACGCTAGATGTTGAGGTTACACTACAACCATCAATAGAGACCCATGCTCTTCACTATTTCCTTTGTTGCTGGATCCAATTTTAGAGTTCTCTAACCGGTCTCTTGATCTTGTGATTGCCTTATTGAAAGACAAACACCAATGCACTTATCCTATTTTCTCATTAGTTTCTCAGGACAAGTTACCTCATTTTTCCAGCTCTTTCATTGCTTCACTGGACATTGCTTTTGTCTTTAAGACTGTTCATGAAGCTTTGTCTTATTTTTGTCTTTAAACCTGTTCATGAAGCTTTATCTTACACTAGTGGGCATGTTGCCATGGTGGAAGAGATGACATCCTTGGAATATAATGGCACTTGGAACTTAGTAGATATACATAGAGGTAACAGGCTGTTGGATGCAAATGGGTGTTTATTGCACAATTTAATCTTGATGGCACCATAGATTCTCTTGAAGCTTGTCTTGTTGTCCAAAGCTATGCTTCAGCTTGTGGCGTTGACTACTTACACTTTTGGTTTAGTAGCCAAACTTTCTGTCGTTTGGCTCTCTATCTCTATGATGGCTATTTATGATTCACCCTTTCACCAATTGCATATCAAGAACGCCTTTTCACATGGTGATCTTCTTGAAGAGGTTTATATGGAGGAACCTCTTGGGTTTGTTGCTCTAGAGGAGCTTGGGAAAGTGTGTTGCCTGAGTAAATCAAAGATTGTCCTAATGACTCATAACTTACAACTTCCAAGAATGATGGCGAGCCATCTGAAGATTTCATGGAGTATATAAGAGTGGCAGGAAAATTAAGCTATCTTGCTGTGACTCATTATGATCTTGCATGCTCTATTAGGGTAGTTGGTCAATTCATATCTTCTCTAATTTGAGCACTCACAGGGCAGCTTTAGAATAAATCCTTCATTATCTGAAAGGAGCTCCTGGTTGTGGTATTGTATGGAAATCATGGGCACATGAGATTGAATGCCTTTTTTGTTGTAGATTGGGCAGGATATAAGGTTGATAAAAGTTCTACTATAGAGTATTGTGTTTTTTGTGGTTGGAAACTTAATATGTGGTGAAGTAAAAAGCATTAAAGCAAAGTGAGTGTTGATTGAGTGTAGAAATGGAATTTAGGGATGGCACCCTTAGTTTGTGAAGTTAAATTGGGAGATCAAATCATACCTCAAGTGGAAAAGTTTAGATATTTGGGAGCCATTATTCAAAATGATGGCGAAATTAGTGGAGATATTTCACATAGAATTCAAGCTGGGTGGTTTAATTGGAGAAAAGCTAAAGGAGTTATTTGTGACCGTAAGGTGCCTAATAAACTTAAAGGAAAGTTTTATCGTACTGCTATCAGACCGGCAATGTTATATAGTAGTGAATGCTGGGCTCTAACGGGACAGCAAGAGCATAAAGTTGGAGTAGCAGAGATGAGAATGTTACGATGGATGTGCGGACATACACGTAAAGATAAAATTCGAAATGAGCACATACGTGAAAAAGTGAGGGTGGCACCTATTGAGGAAAAAATGGTAGAAAATCGGTTGAGATGGTTTGGGCATGTACAAAGAAGACCAAGGGAGGCACCAGTGAGAAGAGTGGAACATATAACTTTGAGTCCGATTAAGAGAGGTAGAGGAAGGCCTAAGAGAACACTCTTGGAAGTTGTTGAACGTGATCTCTTAATTAATAATATTTCTAAAAGCTTAATAAATGATAGAGCACAATGGCGTCTTGCAATCCATGTAGCCGACCCCACCTAGTGGGATAAAGGCTTGTTGTTGTTGTTGTTGTTGTACCCTTAGTTTGTGAAGTTGTGTAGATATATCAGTTGTTAAGTAAGGCTGGTCTTAAAACCTTATTACTTGAAAAGTTATGGTGTGACAAGCAAGTGGCTCTACAAATTGCCTCCAACCCTGTGTTTAATTAACGACACCAGCTTTCTTTGTTTGAGTGCTGGGCATTGAATGTCATTGGGTGCTATTTTCATTGCCATCCGTCTTTGAAGCATATTATATGCTACTGTTTCTTGGGTTCTTTTTGGTCTTTTCCTTTTCTTATGCATTTTCAAGCATTCGAGTACTCCTCTGCTATTGAACCAGGTCGTAACATTTTTCTGTGCTAATGGTGAGCCTGCACCCTGGAGCTTAATCTAGCCATACTGTTGTTTTTATACTCTGATTATTAGCTAAGAGTTCCTGATAGTCAATGTTGAGAAAAGAGAGATGCAATGTTTTCTAGAGACTAATGTACAAGAATCTTAAACACTTGTACGCCTATAAAATGAATTATATAAAAGATATTTTTAATCAACCATGCTTTCCTACAACCTGAGTTCTGCGATTTATGAGAGAGAAAAAGAAGCACTGCTTGCTAAATTTGCGGGACTAGCTCCCCACTGCATTAAAAAGCCACTTTCCATTACAACCTTGTTGTTGTAGCTTCTCCCACTGAGAAAGCCCCCTCCCTGGTCAGATTGAGGACGTGCTGCAATTGTTTCTTGGTCAGAGTCAAGAAGTGGCACAGCTGCTGCTTTTTGCCTCTCCCTTGAAATATGTTTCTTTCTTCTAGGATAGGTCCACAGTGGGGGTCTATCAGTTCCACTCTCTCTGTAAAAGTGGGAATTTTTTAGGATAGATTTTTGAATTATGAATATTTGATGTTTACTCGTTTCTTTTTAATTGGCTTTGTTCTTGTTGAGACATTTCCTTAAAGTGGTATATCTAATATATATTTACCCTGTGATTTCATATAATTTTGTAATGTGTGAAGATATCAAAGGCATGGAAGCAGAGGTACAAGCTTTGGAGGAGCTTTCAAAGCAATTGTTCTTGGAGATTTATGAGCTTCGCCAAGCGAAGGTTTGCTTTTTGGATTATACTTTTCTTCTCTCACTTTCAATTAGCACTTTAAAAGCATGTTTGTTATTGAAGTAGACAATTAATAGGGAGAGATTGAGAAACGCAGTCAGTGTGTGTACTGATCTGCAGTCTATCATATTTATAATGTATATACAACAATGAATAATAATGAGTAATGAGTAATGAGTAGGAATAAATACAATATCCTCCCTAATCGTATGCAGTAAATACAATATCTCTACTGATTCTCGCCACTTGTTAATTATGTTTGGATGTTAAGCTTTTAGTGCTTCTGTGCTTGTTTAGTTATTATTTGGGTTTTGATGAACCTACTGAGTTGCATCATTGATCCTCTAATTTCATGTTGCATTTTGGATGCATGAGGATTTGGATTTGACTAAATCCATATTTTATTATAATTTCTTTGTAATTTCAAATTTTCACTAGACATTATTTGAAATTTCGGTTGATTTCTTCATGTTTTTCATTATTAGTGGCTCTGTTACTCTTGCTTCTGCTCTCATTTTTCGTCGTCTTCTCTTATTGATTGAAAAATAGAGATAAGTTTGTCACTCTCAATTTTCCGTTTTTGCTTTGAATTTCAGCATGTCTCTTGTCTATTTTTAAAATCTTTTACACTATCCAAATAAGTGATTTTAAATGTGAGATTTTGAATCTAAAATTCAAATTCAAATGAATCAATTCAAACACTACTTCATTACTTTGGCAAAACAAAACTAAGGAGTTTTGCCTTTTAAAGGCTTTTCTTTCAAGAATGCTGGCTTCTTCAACTTTACACCTTTGGTCAGATCCAATTGAAAGAAATACTAGATTAGTTACAGTTGCATTCTTGGGTGATTTTTTTTTTGTGAAATCATTGTGGGTCCTGGGTATTGCAAGGAGTCTAAGGAATGATCTGTATTATTTATGCCACATGAATAGTATGGCTTGCTAGAGTTTTTATAATACATACAGATGTAGATGCCTTGATTTGATATGCGCTCTTGCAGCCTGCACCAAAACAATGCTTTACCCCTAGAGGTCCTGTCAGCTGCTGTGCTGTAGTGGAAATTTCCTGCAAAAGTTGTCACCTAGTTACTGTGGGGTATTGACTTGCGCTACCTCAGACAATGCTGAAATTCATATCAGTTGTACTACTTTATAGAACTAATGCTTCAACATCTGCTTTAACTACTTAAACTTTTATGCTTAATTGGCCTTGACACAGTTTAGAGCCTCTCCAACCAATTGGTCTGGAGGAGTTTTAATACTCACATCTCATTCTCGTATGAAATGAAATCCTGTCACAAGTAATCGCTTGCAACTACAGCATTGGTTGTGTCCTATAATTTAAAATTCCTTCTGCTCACCGCAAAAATATAAATCTTTGACTTTTAACCCATATCTATGTTTGTACACTCTATAAGTGACCAATCTTGATTCTAGCCTTCTCTACTAGTGGTAAGAGAAAAAAATCAATCATGTTCTCTTCTTGTTCTTTCTTCTCTGTTTAGTCTTTTTTTTTTGGTTCTTTCACTGTTTCTTTTGTGAGATCTTTTTGGCAAATCTAGTAGTTGTTATGGATATAATGCTATTTTTCCATCCTTTTTTTAATCTGTTTGATTTTGTTCTCCTCTCCATTTCTTCTATATTTCTGAGCTGTACTAGTTGGTGGAGATGACAAATTGTTATTATCACTATTATTTTGATGATGATGATGATTATCATTGCCGTTGTCATTGTTATCATCATTGTCATTATTATCATATGTAGTATAAAACCTACATTAAGTTGCGCTTCATAAGTTATGAACAGTATGGCTCACTTTAATACTTTGTGCGCAGGAAAAATGTATCTAGTTACTATTATAACTGATATTGTTGCTGCCATTGTTAAATTCTCATCTAAGAACTTCAATCAATAATCTCACTTTTGTTATGTAAAAATGTAGAAAAGATTATTGTTGAAATCCTTAGACATCATTAACACCTATTTATACTAATAGGAGCCTCCTAACCAACCAGCCAACCATCTTAAACCCATTCCTAACTAGTTGCTAATCTCATATAACAATACTCTCCCCTTAATTGATCCTTGTCCTCAAGGATCATAACAAATTCAAGAATTTAGAGGTTTAGTTGGACAAATGGAAAATCTAGAAGTGGCAATCTTTAAGAAGAAAAAACGTTAGGCCTTTAAATGCATCAAAACTATTGGACCCTATTGTCCACTTTTCTACGTTACTTGTACAGGCTCCTTTCATTCCTTTCACCAACGTTCAAGAACCCCCCCCCCAAAAAAAAAAAAAAACCTTTGCATCTAGTCCAACAATTGGGCCTTCTAATATTTGTGAGCTACTAGAACAACAAAGGACCTCTTCGCTCGCTTTATTGAATTTGATGGTGCCTAATTTACTAGGCTGGTTCCATCTGCCACAATGTCTTGGCTGGTTCCATATGCCAGTGTCCTGGCCCGCCTTCTTGATGTACACAGCTTTTACTATCTTCTATGTTGAGTCTGAGACAATGAAAAGCAATAGTTTGGCCCTCTACAAGTACAAAACATCCTAGATGATACTTTTGACTATAGTTAGCTTTATGCCTTGCTTCCTTGTTGAGCCAGTTGTCTTTTCCTCTATCCCAAGGCCACTTTGAGGTTGCCTAATGTGATGGTTGGTAATCTGGTCATGAATATTAGGAACAACAACAACAAGCCTTATTCCATCAAGTGGGGTTACTTTCATGGATTGTACGATGCAATTGTGCTTTATCAGCAGCTAAGCCTCTGGAAATATTCATTTAAATATTAAGAAAAAGGCAAGAAATGAGGGGCAACGTTCAATACCTCCTTGAAAAAGCAGTAGCAGTGAACTTCCAGAATGATCTCTTTGCATGCTGGCCTCTCTTTTGCATCTGTTTTCCCACTTTTGTAAAGCTGTGCAGGTTCCTCTTGATTGAAAAAGTGCCACGAGCCACCTAGTAGGTGTTAAGGGTGTGGATGGGATGCGTAAAGAGGTCTAGGGTCCTAATTCTCTTAATGTAACCCAAAAAGATAAAAAGGGAAGAAAGCAAAAGTGTCATTTCTTTAGAGCTTCAATAGCCATCCTTCATTTTCTCCATCACCTTGGTGCTTGAGGATGAGGAATCTAGCCTCATGTAAGTGCCCTATCAAGTAATAGCTTCCCTGACTCAGTTCTGTAATGAAAACTGACGATCATAACTCAATTAGAGGATTGGCTTGACCTTGCAATGATTGTCTTGGATTTGACTGGAAACTAGACAGTATCCATTGTGCATGGTGTGAAGTGGCTTGCTAGCTTGAAGCTTTGGTGGTCTCCCATCATTCCCTTCAAAATTTGCTGGTTTGCTAGCATTCAAAAGACCCTCGAAGAAGCAGCAATAGAGGAAACCTAATATCATTTTTGGCTGTTCACTGATTCAAAACTATGATGGTTTTCTGTTGATGTTGGCCTTGCTTGAGTTGAAGCTTTGTTGTTGAAGGTTTGGCCTTAAGGTGACTTGTGGAAGTTTTTGATTCATGTTGTAGAACTAGTGCTAGCTGAAATGCCCAAACTTCCTGTAAACACTGCTACTTGGTGGTTTGATAGCTACTGAAGAGCAATTCGATGCAACTTCAAGAACATTGTCACTGAGGCTTAGGTTGGCTTGATGTGATGACAAGCTTGTTTGTGGCCTTTGTTAGGTTCCTTTTGGTTGAAATTTTCTTTATCACCTTTCAAGTTCATTTTCAAATTCTCCAAGCTCTTGAGGAATCATGTCTTCTTACCTTCCTTGGGTTCTCCTTCATTCACATGTTCTCTATCTCCTTCACTAAAGTTAGAATTGTGTAGGCCTTGTTACCAGCTTTGACCTCGTAGCTTCCTACAAAAGCAATAGATATAGCAATTGGAGTGATTGGAAAGTATTCCTTGCAATCAGAATGATATTTGATCTCATTTTTCTTTGTTGCACTCTCTATCTCCTTAATCATCATCTTCTGTCTTTGTCTCTGTAATCACATTGTTTTCCTTCCCCTCTTTAAGGCAAATCTCTGTATTCTGCTCATTTCTTCCTTCTCACTATTTATTATGTTGCTTCTTAACTGACTAATCATCTTAACCATTCCCAACTAATTACTAATTTCCATGTAACAAATTCAAATTTCAATTTATTCAAGATGAGTTGGGCCCATTTATCATGGCCCATAACAATGATAGCTTACCCTGTTTAGTTTCTGATTATGTTTACTTTTTTTTTCCCATTTATTTCCAAATATGATAGGGTATTAATTACAATAATTTTGCTGATTTTATTCTGATTGTAATATGAGATTTGGTGCAATACTAGGTTACTTAATTCTCTATTTATTTTGTAAACCCTATGGCTAAATACAACAAAAACAAGCCTTAGTTTCACTAAATAGGGTTATCTACATGGTTTGTACGACCTCATTGTGCTCCATCAACAACCAAAAATTTGAATATATTGTTAACCAAAAAGTCTTATCGAATAACTTCATTGAGTGTTTTCTTTGGTCTTTCTCTATCCTTTTCATAGGACTCAAGGCCATCTACTTCATTCTCTATACTTGCACTTTCAATGACTTTCTTTGTACATGTCCAAATTATTCTAAACGATTTTTACCATTTTATCTTTAATAGATGCCATCGCAATTCTTTCTCATATGTGATTATTATGAATCTTATCTTTTCTTGTATGCCCACACATTCATCTTTACATCTTTATCTTTGCTACTCTAACTTTATGTTATTTGTCTTTTTAAAGCGTAACATTCAATACCATAAATTTAAATCCTACAGCTGAATAATAGAACATTTTTCTGCATCTTCCTCACAATTTCATTCCAATTTCCGAATGAATTTAAAACTAATCCTACTGGGAACTTGGGTGTCTTGTCACTTAAATGATTAAGATCATATCAGTAATAGGAATGCTTTGTTTGGAGATTTTGTTGTAGTTATAATTGGTGTTATTATGAGGGACAATTCATTGTTTAAGGGCATATAAATGCTACATAATGTGAATCATGACTTCAACATCTTAGAGAACAAATTACATAGTATGTTTGATAAGTTCCAATATCAAATGAATTTGGAATCATGAAGTCCTATAACTTTGACATGCTAACCATTTATGAGGTTGATATTATGCTTTAAATTTGATACATTTTTAATTTAATGATTGTTGGAGTTATTATGAGTGGAATTTTCAGACACATATAAAGTTGTTATATCTGTGCATTGTTATGTATTTAGCAGTTTAATGCTGGTATGCAGCAAAAATGGCTTCTGGTTATGTGACAATGTTCCAGGCTGCATTGATAACTATGACCTTGTGAGAAATTCTCGTAAAACCATTTTGGGTCCTGCACATTATGGATTGGGTTGAATTGGTTCTCGACAATGCAGTCAATTCATATAGATTTATTTGACGTGGATATTTGAAGTAATTCTATTCTCCAGTTAATTGAATGTTTCATGTGGCTGAGCATTGATAAACTTATATTTCATGCTCAAGTCTGCTTAATAGGAAAATTTGTCATTTTGCAGGAAGCTGCTGCTTATTCTCGAACTTGGAGGGGGCACATGCAGAATCTACTTGGTTATGTTTGTTCCATCTATTGTGTGTATAAAATGATCAAGGTATAGTGACATTGGATGGTGAGAGTAATTTTTATCTATTGACTAACTTTAGGTTTCTTGGAGTGAGTGGCGGTTGGTAATTGGTTGATATTGGTAAGTTAGGGCATGGATGGTTTGAGAGCAATAGGTTGCGATTTGATGGGTTAAGTTAGGTAGTAATTTGTTGATAGTACTTGCATAACTTGCCATTCATGTGAAAGAAAGCATTGTGTCCTTTTAATTAGACATCTTGTAGCTTATTCCCTAAGGTTTTGGATAATTTCCTAATCATAGTAAGATTGAGACTCTCTGATGGTATTAATTCTACAAGATGTCAAGTGTTAGGATAAGACCCACTCATTGCTAAATAACATGAGTTAAAGCCCTAATAAACTTTATGACTCGTGATACGACGATGATGACAACAAGTCTTGTCCCATTAGTTGGAGTTGGTTACGTAGATTGTAAGACATCATTATACTCTATTAACAACTAATTCTTTGGATATATTATTAATCAAAAGGTTTTGTTCAATAATTTCATTGAGTGTTCTCTTTGGTTTTTCACTACCTCTCTTTGCAAAACTCAAAAGTTGTCTCTTCCACTCTTCTTATCGGCACCTCCAACAACCTTCTTTATACATGTCCAAACCATCTTAAAGGATTTTCAAGCATTTTCTCCTCAATATATGACATGCCAACTTTTCTTCATGCATGTTCATTACAAATCTTATATCTTCTATGCCCACACATCCATCTTAACATCCTTATCTCTACTATCCCAACTTTATGTTTTTGTTGTCATTTCAAGGCCCAACATTCACTATCATATAGCATTGTTGGTCTTATAGTAGTTTGATAAAATTTCCCTTGGCTTAGTAGGTATTAAACTGTTAGGAAAGACTTCCTCTGCTAAGTGGTATTGATGATCTAGAAAAGATTGACAAAAGATGGCTAAGCATCTGGTTTTATCAAAGTGCTTTCTGTTGGTAAAATCTATCTGGTGATGATAATAATGATTGTAGTTTGATGATTTTTCTTCAGACTTGATATACTTCTTTTTTCTCTTTCATTGTAGTTCGCATTGACTTGGCTAATTGATTGAATCTTTTTTGCAGTCATTGCAAAGTGTTGTTTTCAAACAGGTATCTTTTTTCCCTCAATAAATCCTTAGATTTAACTTTCAATTGGATGTAGTTAAGATTCCCTAATTGGCGTCTTTATTTTGCAATAATCTTATTCAATGGCAGGATGGTTCTGTTGATCCTGTAACAAGGACAATTAGTATTTTCTTACAGTTCTTTGACATTGGAATCAATGCTGCCTTATTATCACAGGTTAGAGTCCTGTTGCATGCCATACTTTGTAGTTTTTCTGGCATCAGTAAGTGGTCTTCTTCTCAATCTGACTCTGACACCTAATGCATGATTACATTAAGGATAAAATCTGGTCATTTTTGTTTTATAAAATATCATAAAGCATCTATGGAAAGTCATATTAAGATAAGGGTCTGGTAGTTCTAGTGAACCACTTTGTTGTAGTTTTTGAGCTTTCTTTTATGCAGTGTTCACTATCAATATTTTTGCATTGAGATCCCTGGCGATATGTTAAATGATGAGGCAGGTTTGCTTTTCAAACTTTTAATTGACGTAGCAGACCTCCTGGATGACTATGAAATTCACAAATCAGAATGATGCTTGATATGGATACTACTATAACAGTTTCACTAGTAAGAATGCTTAATTTTCAAATAAAAAATTTTACTATTTACTTTTGTTTCATAAGTTGTTTAACCATGTGCCATTTCTTAAGTCTATCATTTGAATCAATGATTTGGAAACTGGACCGGATGGTCCGATTGGTTAAACCACTAGTTGGTTCATGTTTTAGCTCGATTTGAACCACAAAATTGTTTTAGCTTTTGTACCAGTGGTGAGACCGAGAACCGTTAAAAAACTGCAAACCAGAGCAGTTTTGTGAAAACTAGATGGCTCAATTTTTTTTTTTTTGACTTTATTCTAATTTTAACCTTGAAAAAGACCTCTCACTTTTCAAACACTGAGAAGGTGAAAGCAAATTTGGTTTATCCACTTTGTTCCAATTTTAACCTTGTATCAAAATAATACCTTTGTTTTCATTTTTTTTGGGACACCTTTTTTGATAAATCATTTTCATTCTTTTTATATGTCTTAATCTGAATAAACATTCAGGTCAAAAAAAATCTAAATTAGTATAGGGATATTTGTTGTGAGTGTTGGTACTGAATCATTTGATATTATGTTGTGTCATGAGACTTATTAAGTCACAATTAACTTGGAATATTTAGCTTTATTTTCAAGTTATGTAGCAATTTTATATTTATTTCTTATATTTATATTATATATATAATTTTTTTTGGTAATATATATATAATAATTTTGAGAAAATATAACTTTGGGTCCTTGCAATTTTTTTTTTGGTGTTCTAGGTTTTTAAATAAAAAAATGTAGGGACCTAAAACACAAAAAAAAAAGTATAGGAACTTATAGCAAAACACGAGCAAGTGCAGGGAGCCAAAGTTATGTGCTCCCAATATTTTTTTTAATTTAATTATTATGTCATTAGTTTGACCCATGCGAACTGTGAATTACTAGCATCTCCGGTTCAATGTTCAGTCCGGTTTTGAAAATATTGATTTGAATGTTGTCAAGGAATTCATTCTAGTATCATCTCATAAGTGACTTAGTGTATCGTTGGGTTTGTGTCAAAATTTAGGAGAAAAAATGTATTTCTTATTCATGTTGAATAGTATGGTATAAATGGGTATTTGTACCTCAAGATGGAAAACTAAGGAGACAATGACTAATAAATCCTAATAAATAGAAAAGAATACTTTCAATAATTACAATATCTACACTCCCCTCAAGTTGGCTCATAAATGCTAATCATGTCCAACTTGATTATGCTCCTATCAAAGGTAGGCTGAGTAACCCCTTAGTCAATACATCTATAGCTTGAAGATTGGTAGGCAAATAAATCAAATGTGATTCCTTCTTGTACTTTTTCTCTGATAAAATGTCTATCCCACCTTCACATGTTTGGATCTTTCATGTTGAACAGGATTTAAGGGCATGCTTATTGCTGCCATATTGTTACCATAGAGTTTTAGTGGTAAGTCCGCTTTGACATGCATCTCTTCTAAGACTTGTTTTATCCACAGCTGTTCCATTATTCCTTGAGCCAATGCTCTTAATTTGGACTCATCACTGCTCTTAGACACAACAGTTTGCTTTTGATTCTTCCATGGAACCAAATTTCCCCACACAAAGGAACAATAACTAGAGATTGATCTTCTAGCAAGATGAGTTTCTCCCCAATTTGCATCTGTTTATACCACTATGGTTCTTCGTTCTTATTTTAAGAAGAATAATCCTCCACAAGGAGTACTTTTTAGGTACCTCAAGATCTTATAGGTTGCTTCCTAATGCTTCTTTTGCTTGGACATGTATTGGCTAGCTACACTCATTGCAAAAGCTATATCTTGCCTGTCTTGTATAGGAGAGATAAATCAATTCCTCCACGAGTCTCTTATATCTTTCTTTGTCATCAACCTCTTTTTTCTCAATGTCTTCCTTTATTGCTTCAAGCTCATTATTAGAATAGTCTTCAACTCTTCTTGACTATTCTTCTTACGCTTCCTTTTCTTCTTCGAAACGACAATAGGAGTTTCAACAAACCTACAACCTAACATGCTTGTTTCCTTTATAAGGTCAAGTACATACTTCCTCAGAGATACATAGATACCTTGCTTTGACCTTGCAACTTCCATTTCCAAAAAATATGTCAAATCCTTGAGATCGTTGGCTTCAAATTCTTTCTTGAAAGCGTCTTTGCTCTTGTTATCCTCAATATGGTCTCATGTAAGAATTATTTCATCAACATGCACAATAAGGATGCACCTCTTACCTCTTTCAATTTGAACCTATGAAGCACCAATACGGGTACCAATACGTGGATATGGCAATTTTTAAAAATTTTAGGATACGGGTACGGCTATATAAATAATTAAATATTAAATATTTATATACATATATATAAATAATTAAATAATTAAGCAATATCAAGTGACAAAAAATAATAATAAACTTAAATTAATAAATATTGTAACTGTAAACAAAAAATTAAAATAAATAAATAAAAATTATCTAAATTTAAGCTTTGCTATTATTGTAACTGTAAAGACTACATAAGGAAGCTAAATTTGTTTTTAAAAAATAGGATCATGAAAAACGAAAAAATTAAAGTTAATGAAAAGGGAAAACCAACATTTTTTTTGGTTAATAGCTCTCCTATAGATCACTCTTTCCCCATAATAACAAAGAACAGCAGCCAAGATCATGACCTCTCTAAGTTGCGACTGAAGAGGAGAGACAAAGAGCAACACAATGATCGAGGAAGACACCGAAACAGTGACTGAGGAGGCGGAGTCAGAGAGCGACAGTGGCTCGGAGAGACAGAGCGACAGAGGAGAGTATTACCTTGCTCGAGCTGGAGGGAGAAGGAGGGAAGGACGATGGTCGGCTGCAGTGGAGGGTCGCTGGGTCAGAGCAGAATGACGCGAATCAGGCGAAGGACTTGGGAATGAAAGGGATCAGTTGGCGTTCGTGAAGTAGGGCATCTAGGGGAAAAAAAATGCCCGAAACCAGCTACGTTTCACATCCTACCCGCGTCGACCCGTGTCCACCAGCAACCGCCCGTGTCTGCCCGTTTTAAAAAAAAAGGAGACACGCCGCATCCGCATACAGGACGAATATCCGTGTTGGATACATATCCGACACGGACACGGCGTTGATTTTGGCGTGTCCGTGCTTCAGAGGTTTGAACTGACATCGTATGGTTTGAGAATCCTTGTTTTTAGCCTTCCAGTGTCATGATTCTCAAGAACCTTTCAATCAATGCCCTAGGAAATTGCTTGAAGCCATGTAGAGATTTCTTCAACCTGCACACTTGATCACTCCTATCTTTATCAAACTCTGGAGGTAAAGTCCTATATACTTCTTCTTATAGTACTGGCTCTGATAGTTCTTGGTGGTAATGTATCTGTTGGTGTGAACTATGAATAGAGTAGCACCCATTCTTTATTAGTTTCTTGTTCCCAAGTCTAAGATTTACCTATACTCACCTTTTAGAATTGAAGAATTAGCGTAGAAAGGAGTATCTTCATGAAAGATAACATCAAGGCTTACAAATGTGTTTGGAAAGAGGGTCAAAGCATTTGCATTCCTTTGGAGTAGGTGAATAGCCAAGAAATATTCATTTGGTAGCACGAGGTTCAAGTTTATTGCTTTAGTGGATATAACACATGAAGAGGGAGATTGGTTTCAATATGGGGTGTGGGAAAAACGCTTTGTAAGTGACTTGAATGGGCATTTGATTGATGAGGTAGGTTGCAGTCAAAATTGTATCTCCCCAATGAAACTTACGGAGATTGCAAGTGAATAAGAGTGTTCTAGTAACTTCAAGGATATGTCTTTTTTTCCTTCCTACAACCCAATTTTGTTAGTGTTATAATTAGGGCAGAACAATGTTGATATTTTATTCATAAGAAGTGTTTACGTATGTAGAAGAGATGAGAGGAAGAGAATCTACACAAATCACTAACATCTCTCCTATAATCTTGGCAAATCAAATCAAATGCTAATAAGAGATAAAATCAGATATTAATAACAGATAGCAGATCTTATTTAAATAAGGAAAAATAGGTCTAATCTTGATATGGGCATATGGCGCTTAGGCCCTTATCTAACACTCTCTCGAGCTGGCGAATAGATGTTAATCATTCTTAGCTTGCTTTTGAGTCCTTCAAATTTGTGTTGGGTCAAGGATTTAGTCATAATATCTGCAATCTGGTTCCTTGAAGGGATGTAAGATAGATCTATCACCTTAGCTTCAATTTTTTCCTTGATGAAGTGTCTATCAATTTTCACATGCTTCATGCGGTCATGTTGAACAGGGTTGTTAGCGATCTTTATGGCTGACATATTATCACACCATACTTTAATTGGACCATTCGGATCAATCTTCAATTCCTTCAAGAGACGAATGATCCACATTCCTTCATATATTCCTAGTGATAAGGCTCAGTACTCTGATTCTGCTGAACTTCTTGACACTACTGGTTGCTTCTTACTCCTTCAGCTCACTAAATTTCCCCACACATAAGAATGATACCCAGTAGTTGATCTTCTATCACTCTTTGAGCCTCCCTAATCTGCATCAGTGAATAATTCAACATTTTTGATGGCATTCTTTGCAAAAAATAGTTGTTGTCCAAGAGTCTTCTTCAAGTATCTAAGAATCTTGTAAATTGTTGTCATGTGTTCCTTTTGAGGAGCATTAGAGAATTGACTCACAACACTAACTGGAAAGCATATGTCAGGTCATGTGTGGGACAAAT